AAAACTATCTGTTATTTTAGAAAAACTGATGATGGTGGAAAACACTGAAACGTATTTTAATTGATAAATAGAGACAATAAATGACTGAAGCCCAGGAATTGATTTTGATTTGGAAGTAAAAACATTCAAAATGTATAAAAATATCACGAAACACATTGCGTTTATATTTGAATTCATATTTTGATTGTCACCAAGAGAAATAGAAACATATACTGAAGTAGTAGGAAGAAGTTTCGAAGAGGTTGACGAATTTTCTAATAAATTCACTAAATTAACTAATATGTCCAATTCCAGGATTGTAACAACAAACGTTGGATGTAATAAAACCACATATTCAATTTTTATTTGCAAATGTTTAATCCGCAATATTTTGCATCAAAAGCAAATATTCTACTCTTAAATAAAAAAAATTTAATGTTTATTATTAGGATTGCACTTTTTGCCTAGTGTTCTTCAATTCGGTAATAAATAAAATCAGGAAAAAACATGCAAATTCCGTAAATTAGCTGCAGGTAGAAGATTTTTGAAAAGTTTCCACACTCAATGGGCACATGAATCTTCGGAGTACCTATTGATTGAAAATTGGAGTTTTTATATGCTTTTCATATACTGAAAGTGTTTGCTCTCGAAGATGCAAAAATACGTTTTGTTTAAAAATTGTGACCGTTCATACCACGTATGATTCCAAATTGAGGGATTCTTTTGTCTAATATTAAGCATCAGCCCTTAAGAATTCATCTCAAGTGCAGATTATTAGAATTTGTATAACACTAAGTCGAAGGCTAGTGGATCTGAACCATCCAGCAATTCCCAGAATTAATGGAATTAATGAAATGTTCTTTGGCTATAAAGTGGTTGCAAATAAAGGTAGACAAAAAACGTACAAAACACTTAATCAATCCCAGAATCCCAGAATTCCAGAGTAAGAATTTAGACGACAAAAGAATCCCTAAAGGCTTTTATATAAAGCATTCCTATACTACAAAATCGATAAAAAAAACTTTACAATATACCGCACAATATGTCTGTGCTCGCTTCTGAAGTCTCTTTATTCTAAAATCGATTAGTTTTCCAATTTATTTTGACGTAAGAAAAATTCACCGTGCTAGCTTTCCTTTCCCTGGTTTTGTAATTGTCTTCGTTTGGTGTCGCTTGCACGTTGAGATGCATTACAGACGACCCTATTACTCGTGTTTCCTTTGCTTTCATATTTATTACAGTATTTTATGCCATGTTTATTTTAAATATATCCTTTTCAGGATGATGTTTGGAAATTTCCACATTCAGCGGACACATTCTGAATGTCCAGCTTCCTATACAAAGTTCAAAGACCGTTTGATTCAAATGTGAAATATCCCTCAAATTAGTGGAGATGTTTGCAAATGCGGCTTTCCATAATTGTAATTACCTTCTGCATGATAATTAGCTTTCCCGACTCTACTCTCTTCATGATTTCATGGGCACTTCCAATAATTAATTCAAAAGATTCGTAAGTTATAACATTGTGTGCGTACCCTAACAGAGTAAAGACCAGGTTACTGCTAATATTAACCAAATTAAACACTAACTTAAAACCCAGCTTCCACTGTTTGACTCAGACAACTAATAATGGCTAACACAGCTGTATTTTTCAGCGACGGATTCTAAAATTTGAATTCCTGAAAATATACAGCAGCCTGATGAACGCCAACAGTTCCCAGCCATATTTTATTCAGCAATGCAGCGATAGTAGAGCAATAAATTTCGCATCAGTTATTAAAGAACTATCCTTGCTTTGCTCAAAAAAACTTGCAATGGAATTCAATATCATACCAGTCTCTACGGAACTCTTACTTTATAGTGGAAAACATGCTATTCCTTTTGCCCGTAATTGGCTTTTTTCTAAATTTCGTTTGATCCAGAAGTTCATAGAGTACTTCGCAGTTTTTATCGCTTGCAAGTCCAAGTATCCCAAGGTTTTTGAGAATTTATACAAAAAATGTATTCAAAAATGGTGTGCTTGGCATCCAATGCAAAATAGCCAGTTAGTTAATTAGCAATGCAAATATTAACAAACAGCAATCACGTTCAACCGACGGCTTACTGGGAAAACTATAATATGTAGCAACCAAATCCATGTTTCGATATTTGACAGTACGTTGAATTATAGAGCCGGGATTGCAGTTCCAATTCCTTCGCAAATAATCCTTAAATTATACGAAATTTGTAATTCCAGTCTAGCCTGCTCTATAAAACAATTCTCTATTTCCTAAAAGCCGATTAACTTTGGGGTTACAGTGGGTAATAGTTTCAAAGGCAATGTGCAATTAAATCTTACAAATGGTAACCGGGCCAACTTTCTAATCCTTTCTAAATATCCATCTGACTCAAGAGCTTTGCGGGATAATTATAGGGCTGGCAAGTGTTAATGGAAAATCTCACTGATTGTACTGTGACAATTTAACACTAAAATGTAGTGCACCAACATTAAAATTCGGATCAAATCAAGTTAAAAAAACAATCTAGCTGCTAAAATAATCAAGAGTTGCAACTAAGAGAACAGAAAATGTATCTTAGTCTCCAAAAATTATTTCAATTTATCGTTCAAGTCAATCGGATGCATATAAATAAACAATATAACTGGCTTTCGATGTTATTGTAGTTTTCCACATCTGCACTATTGCGAAAATTGCTTTCTATTATTGTATATATTTCGATATATCTGGACACAATAAACTGTAAAAGCACCACAGATTGCAAAATGAAAACTGAATTATCTATGTATGAGCACCAAGAAAATCCGTAAACTGTGTTTTGTTTGCATCGTAATTTCAACTTATTTGTTATCTATATCAACTGTCCTAATAGCAATCATTAAAAATTCACAGGAAGATCGCACAGATAAGTTTAGTGCAAATTTGAAACCACCTCGGATACTGCCATAAAGAGCATGAGAAAGGAAATTTTATCATTTAAAATAATGGCTCGCTCTCTGAACGCTTTTAACAGAACAAAACTAAGAAATACGGGAACTTTTAATAGTTTTCCCGATCTAAAAGTGTTTTCAACTTTTTACTTGGGCTTGTCGAGGAAACTCCGTACTGGAATATATTTTCTTATTTTTTGCAGTTCGATGGAAATCTCCGTAATCTTGACTATGGCATGATTAACAAGTAAAGTTAAAAGTTGATGTCAAGCACTCTAATTAATAGAAACAGACTTTGAATGGATTGGAAAAAGCTGTGTGAGTGAGATTAAGCAAATATTGGCGGTTTATTGTCGAAAACTCTTGGAACCGAAAAATTTTAATTACTTTCAGCAGACACATAAATTAAACGGGGTATTTGTAAAACTCGACCAGCAGTTGACATATTTTCCCGTCGATTTACTGCTTTTCGTCTGTTTGAATTGGATAAGTCCACGGAAAATATGAGCACTTTGGTAACATTTCTCATCCTGTTTTAGGTTTAATGCAAATTCATTGCCCTACCATAACTTGATCGGCTTACCCAAAAAGCTCCATATATGAAATGCATATATGTCTTCCAAAATTACTTTAGAATAATTGAATGGATTAAAATTTGAAGTTGGATAATATACAAATAAGGCAAAATTTTACTTGTAGTTTGAGGATATTACTTACCCTTAGGAATAAACGTTCCGTTTCGTATTGTGCACATAAAATATAGATCGGTTGTTTAAAAAGTGCAGCGAAATTCAATTATCGCGTAACAGCGTTCAAGCCTCAAGGCATATTGAGTTTCAGTATTAAATTAGCAATAAATCCAGCACACCCTGTGAATTTCCCTGGGGGCATTTACCATATAATCTATTGTTTATTATGGGAAAGCTGTCTCTCGATGAGCTATGAAGGGATGTTAACCGCAGAATGTATGATTAAGGGCTTAAATAAGAAATGGTCAAATGCTAATGAAAATTTATATCGAACTAAAATGCAAACGAAAAGATGAAAACCAAGTTGGACCCAAAACAGTGTCGATTTCAGTCTTCAAATTTATTTAAATGTATAGTTTAAAAATGGCTATAAATAAAATCTGCCTCATAAATGTAGATCTAGAGAACAAGAATAAATCGTTTCTTGAATAAATCGTAAATACTGCATCACTCAACTGTCAAAAAATACATCAAATCTTCCAGAATGCAGTTCTTCTTCTTGGTACGCCGTCTCTTCACTAAATTTTGGTTGGTAATCCATCTGAAACACACAATCTTAGAAGTTGCTGCTCTGAAAATGTAGATGGAAATACAGCTGAATCATCTTCTCGAGTTCTTCAGCCAGGAATTTTGTCTTCTACCAACTGATCTTCTGCCCTATATTTTATCCCCAATTCTCAATTTTAGCATCATATATTTTGCAGCCCTCATTACATGCTTGATATTTCTGGTCTTTTTTCTTTAATGTTAATGAGGAGATCAAGTGGTTTACGCAACAAGGTAACTACTACACTTTTTGCACCTATGATATCGGCAACAAAGGTACATTTGCATATACATATATCATGTTCTTGTTTGTATCTCCGCAACAGCTGTCTTTACTACTGTTCATGTACCTTCTATTTACAGCGGACGCGAAACCATTTCAGAATTGAGTTTTTAGTTTATCCTAGTCAATATATTTTCTGAAAGCTTTCTTTCCGCTGTTCTTAAAACGTTTCATTCTGAACTTGATCACAGAATAGGTCCCCCATAATAGGAGTGTGCTGAGGCGACGTCCACGTCTATAATATTTTCTCAGTCTCTCCAGACAGAACTGAAGCATAGACAAGAAACATGAACAAGCCCGAAAGTTCAATGCATGTTGAATATGTCCGAATTATGAAAACTGTAACGACTTCAGAGAAAACAGCAAATAGAGTAATTTATTTCACAGTAAGAAGAGTACTAGAAGCTCCCAAAAGAGCACAAAAGAAGGTATTGAACGTACTCGAGCATATAAAGAAGCCCCTAAACGAGTGCTAACTGACCGAAACGATACAATTGGAAGAATGGGAAACATGTTTCGAATCCTTATAGGATAACACTGATAACCCGGTTAATCAGCTACAGGGCGATGAGAACGAATTGGCAAATAAATTAAATAATAAAGAAACTGATAAATAAAAGCTAAAAAACACAAAAGCCGAAGAAGTGGGCAACATCCCTGAAAGTCTAAGAAATCCCAAAGATATTTTCTACTTTTTACAGTATTTATCAGAGCTTTAAACAGCACAAATTAGATAAAGTTCAATCCGAATTGTAACATATTGATAAAGTTAATTTATCTATTAAACAAGCAGACTTTGGTTGATAAGTCATCGGTTGATTAGGTAGAGTTTTTAAATAAATCAGCGCCCGTCCGATAAAACTCTCCCACACAACAATGGCCAACTAAAATAAATCGTCAGCATCAATACAACAATTACGTTGAAGTCACATGAAAAGCGAACCAGAGCTGTAACAATAGAAAATTGCCATTAGCTCACTTAAGCAGAAAATTGTTTTCGAAAACGCGTTTCAGACTTTCACATCATTTGAATTTACATTATTTGGAATGTGAAGCTTTGTTAAATGTCCGGCTAAATAGTGCTGCTATGAGCTGATAATTTTTTCGTCCTGTATTTGTCCAGTGTTTGAAGTGAATTAACGCTATACTATTGACTTGACCAAAGGATTTAGTTGGAATTTAACAGAAAATCCGGCTAGTGTAAAATGAGGCAGCAGATGCTCAAGCGAAAGAAGTTTTGAATGGAATCAGAAATATTTCGGTTGAAGTTATCAGAGTTACCTAGAATGCAGTTTTGCTTTTAACTGAAAATTTTGTGTGAGCTCCAAGGAGTGAAAATTCTTACTGAATCCAAAACAAAAAACTCTTAAAAACTAGTTACGTATTTGTAGTCGCAATTGCTAACAATTATTTTCCGTTTCGAAATAAATTCCAGAAGAGTTTTATCTCGATATTACCTGAACCTTTATTAGCGTCTTCTTTCCAACGCATTCGTAAATTCTATCCGGAATTCGTTTGGTTTCAAGCTGGAGACCTACACTCTATTTTAATAACTATAACAGAACGGAGTACGGAGGAAAATTAAATTCCAAAATGTCTATCTACCACAATGTGCCGATATGATCCTTGCCCATGACCCTCATTTTTGTTGAACCTGTGCAGTTATGAAAAAGCCACTGGGTGAGGAATGCTCTTGGCCATTTCGACCAGTTGAAATAGAAATATTTTTGCACGAATAGAAATTGTTCGAATGGCCGCAACGTTGCACAATTAATTACTTGCTGTTTCGGAATGATTTCCAGAGGATTCATTGCCTGCATATTTAAATATTACTTTCGACAATGCAATTATTTATAGCTAGAGTAAAAATATTGCATTTTTTTATGTTTAAAGCCCGTATCCCATGCATCCGTTTGTACGACGATACGGTGGTACAAAAGTGTTTCTATTAGTTGGAGATCTGTCAATTCGCACGACGACGAATTCATTCTATCCAATGTCCATGTGTATTTTAAATGAATTGACAAAAAATAATCTACATTTTCAAACTAAACGGAGAGCCTAATAGATTGCTAACTAGACGTTCTTTACTTCAAGAAATTGTAATAAGTGAAAATTAACCAGAAATATTCTCAGCACTTTTTAGTTATAGACGATCTTGACTCTGCTTATTCCCAATCTTGGATATATCCGTTGGTACATCACCTACTCGCATATGCATCTGAAAAAATATTTCGAAGCAAAGCACCTTTGATGAGACTATATCAAAATAACTGAACAATGAAAAAATCCTTTACAAATCTATAATGTTTCTTGAAATATACACACATGTATTCTGTCGATATTCAACCTATAATGATCAGATTAATAGTTTCTAATGATGTTATGCATTATTAGTGACCGCGCTGATAATCAGCAAAAGACTACTATTTAGTTTTGCGGGTTTTTCGAACAATAGATGGTGGCAAAAATAAAACAATATTTTTTCCTTGACCCATGAAAAATTATTGTTTTATTTTTGCCATGTATTCTGTCGATATTCAACCTAAAATGATCAGGTTGATAGTTTCTAATGATGTTATGCATAATTAGTGACCGCGCTGATAATCAGCAAAAGACTACTATTTAGTTTTGCGGTTTTTTCGAACAATAGATGATGGCAAAAATAAAACAATATTTTTTCCTTGACCCATGAAAAATCAGTGTTTTATTTTTGCCACCATCTATTGTCCGAAAAAACCACAAACCTAAATAAGCGTCTTTTACTAATAATTTCTGTTTAGAAATTTCGACTGAAAGTTGCTGAGGTTAATCAGCTACACCCTGCTGAAATGCTTTGAATAACACCGAATATATAATCCGCGAAATAGTCATTTAATACCTAGAAATAAAAACCCTAAAGTTAAAACTGACAAAATCAGGTGAGTGATTAGTGTGCCCATTAAGGGAAGATTGATTATTCCATTTGGGAAAAAGATAAATAAGCGAATACTGCAGAGGAAAATTTTTCAGCCAATATAAAGAATGCGAGGTTCATTTAAAAAGTGGACATTTAACCGCAGCTGCCTGTTACGGCATTTTTATATACCCAAAGACAGTTTTTAAATCATGTTAAACCGCACTAAATTGTATCGAATTTCTTATAAAATAAAAGACGGGAGCTTTCTATTAAATACCCTTTAACGCAACCAGGCCGACGTCGTTGAAAAGAGACGATTTTAATCTAAATCGGATAAGAAGGGCATTGGCAAGAATAGCCACACTTTCAAAATATCTAATGGGAATCTATATTGATTTGTGCAAAAGCGTGAATCAACATCATCAACTGAGTTTCAGCTTCGGTTAATTTTATCAGCTCAAATCACAAGAAATGTTCTGAAATCTGATACCAATAGTGGGTACATTTCTCCAGCTATGAATTAAATGAAATATTAGTAGCAATGGAATGAATAGTTTGCTTTTCGCTAAGCAAATTTTTATTCAAAACACTTCACTTAATATAAATTGTACCAGAAAATATTAAAAAGTATTTATTTAGGAATATCTAGCTGAATTACAAACATAGTTTACCTTGCAAAGTGTACTTAAAGTTGAAATAGAGTCCACGGAATTCAACCTCAAACACTTTACCTAATACAGAAATAAGTGAAGCTTAATTAACTGCGAACTGAAAATTCGACTAAACCCTTTAAATTGATAGCTTTTGAAACTGGCCGTAGTCCCATTAAGTTCCAGCACAGGGTGGTTGCAACTAAAACTTTCAAGTGCCTGAGTTTAGGACTGCATTCGTTTGGGCAATTTACATATTACTCTGAGTTTTGATGAAATGTTGCGTTTTAAGTTAAACGATGCCTCTGTGAAACCGTCAGTCGAAAATCCACTTTGACCCAGTCCCCATTACTCTTACACTGATTAATAGAAACTAAGAAGCTTTGAAAAATGTTTCGCAGATTATCAGGAAAACTTTAACCATTTATTTAATGAACCTGTTATAAATGAGTGTTTGAAACTTTCACGGTAATATTAGAGCGTGTGCAGCACTGTTCTGTACTTTTTTCGAAAGTGCATAAGGCCACACAATCGGTCAAAGTCACAGTTTCAATGGAGTTTCCAT